TGGTTCTCAGGTTTCATTTTACGCACTACGAGATTGTTGTCACAACGATAGTGTATCACCTGTACCTGGTTCAGAACAGTGGCTTCAGAAACGTCCCTCAGTTCCCTCTGACGTCGCCAACAGAACCACATCATCTGCATAAAGCAGAACAAGACTCTGAAGTTCCTGAACCAGCCCTCTCTATCCATGACTGCACCTTGAGAGATGGTCCATGAACCCCACAAACACAACTCCTGACGAAGTCTAATGAGCTGCACTTTATGCCAAGAATGTGGACACAGTTCCTGCTTTGGTTGAGCAGTTTATTTATTTTTATATTTCTTTGTGAAGTGGGATGTTTTCATTAGTCAAACTACTTCACGTACGGGGGGCAATATTATAGGCAGAAACATGGGTGTGCCATGGGATCCCCAGTTTCTCCTATTGTTGCAAACCTGTACATGGAGGAAGTGGAAAAGAGAGGCTTGATGTCCTTTTCAGGGGTGCCACCGAGCCATTGGTTCAGATATGTTGATGACACCTGGGTTAAAATTAAAGCCCAGGAAGTCCAACATTTCACTGATCACATCAACTCTGTGGATGAATATATTAAGTTCACACAAGAGGATGTAAAAAATGGCAGGTTGGCGTTCCTGGATTGCGATGTCTCGGTTTCGGATGGAGGACGGTTGGAAACTGGCGTGTATCGTAAGCCCAACCACACAGACCAATATTTGCGTTTTGACTCCCACCATCCACTGGAACACAAGTTAGGAGTGATCAGGACTCTGTACCACAGAGCAGACAGTGTCCCTACAAACCCAGGAGCCAGGCAGAAAGAGAAATCACACACACGACAGGCCCTGGAGCAGTGTGGTTATCCTGACTGGGCTTTCTTGAAAGCAGACAGGAAACACAGACAGGATTCCATGCAACCTTCAGGTGAAAATAAAGACCCCAAACCCAGACCTAAACCAGTGGTTATTCCGTATGTTGCGGGTGTTTCGGAGAAACTGAGACGTTTATTTTCTAAACATGATGTCCCAGTAGCTTTCAAACCCCAAAACACATTACGGCAAAGGCTGGTTCACCCCAAAGATCCGGTGCCCCGGCACAAACAGAGCAATGTTGTATATGYTGTTAAGTGCCAGGAGGACTGCGACCAGTTATACATCGGGGAAACAAAGCAGCCACTGTTCAAAAGAATGTCCCAACACAGACGAGCTACATCTAATGGCCAGAACTCTGGAGTTTTCACTCATTTACAGGCCAGCGGTCACTCTCAGAGATGAGGATGTTCTCATTCTTGATAGAGAGGAACGTTGGTTTGAGAGAGGAGTAAAAGAAGCCATTTTTGTGAAGAAAGACCGTCCATCATTAAACAGAGGTGGAGGCCTCCGTTTTCAGTTGTCCCCCTCCTACAGTGCTGCTATTGCCAGTATCACTCCACCCCCTGTTAACAATAGGTGTTAATTAGGTGTCAACGATAGCCATGTGATGTGAGTATCAGTCACATGGAGGCAGGACTCAAAAGCCTGAATTTTGCCTGAAACTCTCAGACTGAAGAAGTCTCTTGGAGGAGAGACGAAACGTTTCATTAGAGAAGAACCCGTCCAGAGGACCTACACAATTTTTTTTCTTTTTGATTTTTTACCTGGATTACTGAGATGCATCAGGATGTTTTCATTAGGGGTGTAAATCACCAGCTTAATCACAATACGATATTACATTGAAATGTTTGGATGACAATTCAATATTTCTCAATGTCACAAAGTCTGTCATGATTTGATTTCGATTCAGTTCAATTCACATGTCTGCGATCGATATAATGTGACATATGCCCATCTAACAGTAACTGTGTTAGATGGGCATATGATATAGATTCACAATGAGCATATGACGACGATCTAGATTGATATTTTCATTTTGCCTCGATACTGAATCATGAACCATTCAAATCGATATAGATCGATGTATTGTTACACCCTTAGTTTTCATCTCCTTATTGCAGGAAAACAAACTAAGTGAGCACAGGAGAGAATATTTAGGTGGGATCTGTATAATCACAGGTGACTGTTTGTTGGTGTAGGGGGGAATCCTGCAGGGTTTTCTCTCTCTGCTCTTTACTAGGCCAGCAGAAATAAGGAACAGAGCAGCGGCAGGTCCTCAACCCACAAATCACAGATTCCTACCATCGCTTTACATTTGCCTCCTCTGGGGACCGCCGGCTGCTCCGGAGGGTGAGCACTCTTGCTTAGTTGTCATCTCAGTTTAATGCAAACCTTGTATAACATCAGGAGGGGAACTATTTTTATTCTTTCTCTAAAGCCTGTGTGGGCAGTTTATCAATGGAACTCCTGTAAGTGATTTTTTTTTTCTCCTTCGGTTGATGATTGGATTTCTGACTCAAACTCTGCAGTAAAGCTGGGAGTTTTTGTTTTAGTCTAGAGTGGTATCTGGAATAAATTGTTATGTAAATTAATTCCATTAGGCACAGCATTCATATTTGGGTTAAGTGAATCGGTTCTGAGGCTGCCAGTTTAGTTTAAAAACTCCCAGTTTAGTCATTAGTTTGACTCCATCCTGGAACAGTATAATTTCAGTGCCACTTCATTTAACTTTATTGTTCAGATAAATTACCTTCGGTCAGATTTACTTAAAATAAAAGACTGAAACACACCCTGAGTTTCTTTGGGTGCAGTTTTACTTGGTGATCCTCATCATTTCTGAACAGATGAAAGTGGGTAAAGATGGATGGAGCGATGCCATCCTGCCAGCTAATTACTGGTGCCGCTGGAGGTATTACCGAACAACCAAGCAGCAACTTTCAAGTATGAAATATGATGCCGACAAAGAACTGCCCCAAACTAAAGTGACTCAAATGGCCACTTGGGGCCGGCCGCAAGAAAAGCTCACATGACCCTCATGATTAATTTCACCAACGCAAAGTGCTGTGGCCAAGAAACCCAGAGACTGTGCAGTTACCACTGGGGATGAAATGGTTACCAGATATATGATAATACATTTTTAAATAAATGTTTAACATTTTATTTACCTTGGAAGTCAAATCCAATATCTGGAAATTACTACAGTCAACCTAATAGAGTTCCAGTTGCAACTCAAAAACTAGTAGGCATTGGTGGGCACAGCTAACCAAACATTTAGCTTTGCTAACTCAAACTGCTAACTTAAAGTGTCTGTGACACACCTTTTCTTCAATTACAAAAAATAAAGAAAATATACTAATATTTAAGAAATTTTGCATCATTCTTCTGATTTTTACCCATTTTATCACAAAACGTGCATGTTTTTTACTAAACTTGGTGCAGTCCAAGTAAAACAGGAAGTGATGTCAAAGGGGAACTCTTTCAGGCATTCCCCTTTGACATCACTTCCTGTTTCCGCTCATGCAAATATTTCAACAACAGTATACTTCAGTGTCGTGAATTTTTCTTTGTAATTCATCATTTAAGTTATCTTTTCAAATATGCACTCAAATATATTACTTAAATTTAATGTCACGGGCACTTTAAACTATAGTTTTGCTAACTCATAATTTGCTAACTAAAACTATAGCTTTTCTAACTCTTAAACAACTAACTAAAACTATAGCTTTGCTAATGCTAATCTGCTAAACATAAAAAAATGTTAGTGGAAGCTAACAGCTAATAGCTAACCACTACGACAACTCTGCGTCACACGTCTTCCCCTCCCTTGAGCTGAAGACTGGTGAGACTGACAAAAGCCTGTTAGCTTGGAAGTCTTTTAGCAGATTTAAAGTTGGCAAAACTTAATTTAGTTAATCAGTTTCACTATTAGCTGTTAGCTGATTAGCAGAACAATGCCCACCAATTTCAGTAGGATTTGTAAAATGCTATGCTTAGTAAGCACCTTAAGTATTGTTAGCACTATAAGCAGAAGGGATTTTTTTTGCAATATGTGTATTCAGATTCCTGTAGCGAAATGTTTCTCAAACAAGTGCAACTTGTTTAAAAAATGTGAACAACCAGAAATGAAAAAAAAAAGTTTAATACTGTAACTATTACCACTTTGAATTTTAGCATGGGGTTGGTCACCAATCTTTGATGGTCCAAGAACAAAATTTCAGGTTTGGGGGAAGATTCAACTGACATTTTTTAACTCTTAAAACTCTAACTGCCTAGGAAAAATGAAACACTCCATTAGTTTTACCATTTTCAATAAATAAAAAAAATGAGATCTTGTGCCGAAAATCAAGAGTTACAGCAATTTTGATCAAGTAAATTACGTTATGTTTAACCTTGTGATAATGCGAGCTCTGTTAGCATTCAGATTATGTGTTAGGGAAGAATATGTGTTTAACAACAAATTTTATGTTATTAGTTAAAGCTGACACATAAGGCTCCAATTTAGCCCAACTTAAAAAGTTATCCATTTGTTTTTGGTATTTTATTAATGTGGACGTTATTGCCACCTAGTGGCCAGGCTTGGTACTTCAGCATTTTTATTAAAATTATATTTATAAAGTTTTTAATTACAAACAGAGAAACAAATGTAGTTGTGTAGGCGGGGCCTAAATCTATCCAACACAGGGAAAGTCAAAGCCTTATGTTACGTTCTTTGCGGCTACACAACTGATCAGATTGATCCACCATCTTTGTTTTAGCAGGGTCTGCGCCTCAGAAGAACAAAGTTTGTGTAACCGCCCTTCGTTACGTCCCGTCTGATCTGGCTTCTCGTCACGCTGCGCCTGCAGTGAAGGTGCAGGTTGATGACGGAGCGTACCGTTGTGTTGATGTGACGGCGGTGACGTGAGCTCCTGACTGACTCACACTGTGCCGTTGCATCTTTTACGTCCTTTCATGGCACTGATGGGCCCCCTCAATTTGTCTCTTTAAGCCAACATCATTTCTGAGGCGGTGGGAGGTGTAGGTGGGGGACACCCCATCCCGGCTCAGCCTGTCCCAGCTCTGGGAGGAGATCGGTGGGTTTGGATCTCAGACGTGGTGAAGGAGGAGATGGGAGGAAAGGGTGGGAGAAAGACGAGCAAAGGGGAGGGTTCAGGGAAATTAGTTTAAGAGGAAGGGGAGGGAGTGAGTGTGAAGCGCACCACCAGCACTCGCTCGGTAATGCACTGTGAACACAGACGGAGTCACACACACACACATTCATGCTGCCTCTGTCACACACACACCTTCACCTCCATTCACACATGACTCCTGGACACCGGTCCGCTCTGCCTGACAGTTGCCTCATTTGCACTTTTTCCACACGTTCGTGCCCTCCAGCCCAAACCGGACCACTGTCACCCACCGGCGGAGACCACTTACCCCCGCTCGTCTCATCGGCTCCTCTCCACCTTGATTCATCCCTTGTCCCCCCACCCCCCGCAGTGTGAAGCAGCTGAAGGACACCGCTCTGCCGTGTTGTGGCGCCGCTAACGCCACCGCTGCAAGAGTTGGGAGAGCCTCATCGGACGGAGAGGAAGAGGCTAAAGAGACTCGCTGCTCCCCTTCCCTCCCTCTGTCTGCTTTCTTTCTTTCTTTTCTTTTCTGTGTTGCTGTCCCCCCACACACACCCCGAGCTCTCTCTCGTCTTTTTTCTTTTTTTTTTTGTGAAAGTCACCTCTATCTTTGGTGGATGTTACGAAGCCTCTGCTGTGGGTTTTTTCGTTTTTTTCCCTTCTTCTCTCAGGGCGCAGGTGGACACTGAGGTTACGCCAGGAGATCCCAGGAACGAGTCACAGTCCACCAAGCAGAATCTGCGTCCGTGCGTCGTCTTGCGGATCTGATTCTTCAGGTCGGACGGTCCCTTCTTCCACTTCCATGACATAGTTGCGGATGGAGAAATTCTGCTGGTGAAGGACAGAAAGTGGACGACGATCATCCCACTGGATTGGATGTTGTCGGACGGAGAGGGTTAAGAAGGATATTGTTTGTTTTTTTAACGATGTGGTGGATGGTTTGGGTTCTTTTTGGACTTGGTTGTGCTGAACTTGAGGTTGGGTCAGAGCTTTAAGGGGGGCGGATGGAAGCATGGCTTGTCCCGACAGGAGAATAGAGATTTTTAAACAGGGAATATTCAATTATTGTGCTGTTTTAAGCAGCGGTCGTCACATTCGGATGAGGTTTTAAAAGATCCAGCCCTCTCTACCTTTGAATTCCTGTTTGTCTACTCTCCTCCTCTTCATTGCTTTGGACCACCCTGACTCCCTTCTTCTTGCCCTTCGTCCTTCGCTCGGCGGCGCTCCATCGCCCTGGGTGAGCAGGCCCCCCAAAACCCAGGCTTCACCGAGCCGCCGAAGGCTGGTGAGGCGGGGAAAAGGTCAGCGCTGGGAAGATGGCCGCCCTCGCCAGCTCCCTCATCCGCCAGCGGAGGGAGGTCAAGGACCCCCAGGCGAACCGGCAGATCGCCAGCAAGCGCAAGCCCTGCCCGAAGAGCAACAAGTCCCTCTGTCAGAAGCAGATCCTCATTTTAATATCGAAGGTTAGACTATGTGGCAGTCGAGGGAGGAAAATGGAAAAAAGACCGGGTAAGTTCCCAGAATCCTCTGCTCATTTCTTTTCATTTCACTTCTTCTTCTTTGCTTTTCTTGGCTTAAATTATTTACTTTTCAGACTACAGATAAATCTAACATCCACAGAGTTCAGAGCCTAATCTGAATCTGGAAAACATCCCAAACAATCTTGGTGAACATAAGAACATGTCGTGTATTTGGTGTAGAGGAATCAACTCAGGATTAACGCGCACACACTCCTCCAACACTGACCACAGACAGCAGAGTTCTGACTGTAGAGACGACTCTGTTCAGACACACGCATGCCGGTAATCTGATGGTCCACAGTGAACCGGGCTCAGGATTTTACTGCAATATAAAAATGTCAAGAGGCGTCTCATTTGGGATTCAGGAGGCTGTTATTCTCCTGGTGCTTTCCTTCAGGGCAGCCCAGCCTACCTTGTTCTCAGCCCAGTTCCTTTAAAAACTTAAAATTTGCTTCTCTCCTTTGGTTTAAAGCTTGTTTTTAGCTGCAGACTTGGACTTTACGTTGCCTAAGGCTTTAAAAAGTATGTCTTTTATATTTTTTTTGACAATTTCTACCACTCATCACATTTCTGGCAAGTCTTGTTTCGTCTTCAAACTCAAGTCAACCTAATTCAACAAAATTTAAACTTGAAAACAAAAATGTCATTGCAAAATATAATTTAAAAAATACATTTCTTTAAAAGTTTTAAACTCAGATCATCAAATATTTAGATGTGAAGAAGTATTTCTTTAAAATCCATCCGTGGTTAATGAGATATTTTGCTGACTACAGCAGTTTTACGAAAGTTTTAAAAACATCTTGTGAACTTGATTTACAATAAAATAAATATTATGTTGATTGTAGATGACTGAAATAAACACAATCCAGGAAACAAAGAATAAGATAAGAATAAGAATTTATAGCCTTGAGTGAGAAAATTAAAATCAGCAATTAGAAATGTAGAATTTAAGACATAAAATATGTGGTTTTTGTTTTCACCATGTGTTTAAGTGAATTTATCATGATCAGGGGACAATATTTAATTAAAAACAAGACTAAATAAATTTGAAGCTAAGATTTACTTTGTACATCTGTAGTCATGTAAAATGGGGAAAAACTTTATAATTTCCAAACAATCCAAAAGGGAAGCTACATATGTTCCCTAGTACTTATGTTCTCTGGTACCAATGTTCTCCCGAGGTTAATAAGGAAAGTCATGAAAGTTGCCTACTTCCCCCTTTATGTATTTTAATAAAATAAAATAAAAATACCAAAATACTGTGCAGACATTGTACCAGACAATGTAGTTACTGGTAAACATAGGTACTGACGAAAAAAAGTTACCAAAGAACATAGGTACAGAGGAATAAAGGTACAAGGACCCAGAGGTACCAAGGAATATAGGTACCAGGAAACATAGATACCAAGGAATATAGGTACCGGGAACCAGAGGTACCAAGGAATATAGGTACTGGGAAGGTACCAAGGAAAATAGGTAACAAGGAACATAGGTACCAAGGAATATAGGTACCAAGAAACATAGGTACCAGGAAATATAGGTACCAGGAAACATAGGTACCAAGGAATATAGGTGCCAGGAACCAGAGGTACCAAGGAATAGGTACCAGGAAACACAGATACCAAGGTACCGGGAACCAGAGGTACCAATGAACATAGGTATCGGAAAACATACCACACCTATTTATGCCCCTAACCCTTCGATTGGTGCATCTTAGCCTAAAGACTTTAAAACCAATTGTTTTAAAACAAGTATTTTAGACTTGATGTAATATTCTACAGCGTGCAATCAAGCACCAAAGACATCTGTATCAACAATGTCAACATGAAATATTCATAATTTATTTTACTGTACTTAAAAATTCATGCCAACTGTCCCACAAAATTTCCTTTTCTCTGCTTAAGAAACAAGGGGTTTTGTTTTACATTTTATTCACTGTAATATCTGGTAAAACGTTCTTGTTATGTTCTCACCTCTGTGCACTGTTCCTTCTTCTACCTGACTGCACATTTATTGTGTCCTTTTCCACCTTGTGTGAGTGCAGCTCTTCGTGTGTGTGTTCTGTGATATTTATTACCGAAGCGTGCCAGGTTCATCAAGATAATTACGTAGGGAACCTCTAACGTGAAAACAGCAGCTGTCGTAGAGGCGGCTGCTCTCTATATTGTAATTACGGTTGTAAAATATGTTGGACAGGCTGCAGCAGTTGAGAAGCTCTTTGGGAAAAGGCCACATGTGTATAATACCCATTGTTTTCAGTTGTTTCCGTCTTCATCGAGTCACTGTCTCTAACGCTCGTATAGATTGAGCTGGAATGTCTAACTGATTGGGTTTGATCTGGACCCATTGACTTTCCCATATTCATGGTTTGTTGTGTAAAAGTAAGGGTTTTAAATTTATTTATGGTAGTCATTAGAATGAGGAATGAGCTGAGGTTTGATACAAGCTCCACCATTTCTGGTTAGAGTTGACCATCATGGTCTTCAACTCACCCCGGTGGATTCTGTGGAGGTCATTCCTATGTTCCCATCAGAACACCCATCCCTATGTTCCTGGATCCCTATGTTCCCACCAGAACACACATCCTTATGTTCCTGGATCCCTATGTTCCCACGAAGAGAGAAACACCCATCTTTATGTTAGCAGGAGTCATCCCTATGTTCCCTTAAATCCTTAAGTTCCCCCCAAAACACCCGTCTCTATGTTCTCTGGGGTCATCCCTATTTTGCTAGGATCGTTAGGTTCTTCTATGTTCCCCGAATCCTTATGTTACCCCCAGAATAACCATCCCTATTTTCACCAGATATTTGTTCACTCCAGAACACCTATTCCTATGTTCCCACCAGAACCAGACTTCCTATGTTCTACCAGAACACACATCTCTCTGTTACCTGGATCCTTATGTTTACCCTAGAATACTCATCTCTATGTTCCCTGGATCCCTAGGTTCCCCCTGGAACATTCTTCCTTTGTTCCCTGGGTCACTGTTCCCTTCAGAGCACAGTTCCTATGTTCCCTAGATCCTTTCGTTCCTGACAAAACACACATCCCTATGTTCCCCCCAGAACACCCACCCCTAACTTCTCTGGATCCCTTAGTTCCATGGATCCCTATGTTTCCCTGGAACATCCATTCCTATGTTCCCTGGATCTCAATGTTCCCTGCAGAACACACATCCCTTTGTTCCCTGGATCCTCACATTCCTCGCAAAACACCCATCTCCATGTTTCCCCCAAAACATAAATTCTTAAGTTCTCTGGATCCCCTTGTTCAACAGATTCCTCTGTTCCGAACAGAATATTCATCTCTGTGTTCCCGGATCCATTGTTCTCTGGTACAATGTTTGCCCTGTTATTGTGTATTTTTTCATTTGTATTAAAATCATTTAGGGCAACCCAGGCATCTTTCATGACTTATTATTAACCCTGGAAATATAGGTTCTAGGGAACATAGGGTCTATGGAAGATAGGGTCTATGGAACATAGGTGCCAGGAAGCATGGATATGGACCAGCAGTATACTGTATGTTTTGCTGTATGTGGGCCACTGGTGACCTCTGGCCATGTGAATGTGTTCAGTTTCTTCCTCCAATCTGAGCTCCAGCTAGAGGCAACAGTTGACCCTTGGCCAAGAATAAATGACTGGAATATTCCTAAGCTACGTTCCCCTCTTCCTCCCCCTCTTCCTCCACCAGCTGGCAGAACTTCAGAGTGGCCAGCTTACTGTTTCGCCTTCACTTTGTTCGAAGCTGGCTTCCATTGTTCCTGCTGGATCGGTTCCTCCTGCATGCAGAGGCTTAGTTTGAGGGTTCAGCTCTGGTTTTCATCACCTCTTCATTTAACAGCTGCTGTCTGAACCGTGACAATCGGAACCTTCAGAACCATTTAGCAACAAAACCAAGAGAGCAGACGTGTGTCAGCACTGGTTTTGGACTTGAGTCTAAAAACCTGATGTCTCTATTTGCTGCGTGTGTGCGAATATTCTAGCGTTTATTACACTGTAATGCCCATTTTTCTAAATTATACTACCTTGTGAGGACCCACTGCTCCTTATGGGGCCCATAAAATAAAATGCCCTTTTTGGGTTGGGGGTTAGGGTCCTAGGGTCCATAGTGTGTGTGCAGTCGATGTCATACATCTAATGCTGTCTGATAAGATAAAACTACCCTGTGACCCAATTGTTAAAGCTCCTTTTGTTGCTGCTGACTGCCGTTTGAAGCGATTGTTGGAAAATATGAGGTGCATTATATGCAGTATAGAGATATATCTTTGCTTGTGTGTGTGTGTGTGTGTGTGTGTGTGTGTGTGTGTTCCCGCAAACATTTGTTGCCTCCCCATGACGGATGGCAGTTCTGATAAATTTGTGTGTCCCTTCTTGACCCATATATTTCGCTCCTATAGCTTTTCTCTTTGAACGCCACCCCCCGACTCTCCTCTGTGTTACCCTCTAACCTACACACACACACACACACACACACACACACACACGCACACACACACACACACCCTCTACCCCTCACCTAACCCATACTAATGACGCTCCAGCACTACAGCCCACTCAGCTTTATAACAAGGTCATCTCGTCCTGGAACGAACCAGGAACACGTATCAAGAATCCCAGCCTCACCGAACAGATCTGCACTTCAACACCAACTAATAAATCAGACAAACAATCAGATTTATGATAATTTGGGCAGGAAGTGTAGGAGAGAGATCATTTCACCCCAGCTTGGTGTGTGTGTGTGTGTTTGTGTGTGTTATGATCTAATGATGATGTTAAGCCTCCTATTGGATATCAAAGTGAAGCTAAAATAGCTAGTGTTGTCCTCTGACTGGCTGCTGAAACTGCTGTTAACAGCCGAGATGTTTCTGCAGCTCAGGTTTGTGTGTGTGTGTGTGTGTGTGTGTGTGTGTGTGTGTGTGTGTGTGTGTGTGT